CGTTCAGGTTATCATTCTTGATGAGGCAGATGCAATGACATTAGCTGCCCAAGCCGCTTTAAGGCGCACTATGGAGAAGGAATCTCGCACGACCCGCTTTTTTATTATTTGCAACTACGTGTCACGAATTATTGACCCACTTACGTCTCGATGTTCCAAGTTCCGATTTAAGCCCTTATCGGTTGAAGCACAAAGGGAAAGGTACAAAGTAGTCTGCCAGTCTTCTTTCTTTGGGAACAAAATTGAAAAATACCGTTTTGGTTAAGGCTAAAGATGATTAGCGCGAAAGAGGGTGTTAAAATAGAGCCAGAGGCTATCGATGAATTAATCGAGTTGTGCGAAGGTGACTTAAGAAGAAGTATCACTTGCTTACAGGTACGGTTGGAAAAGTGGCCATAGAAGTTTTCTAGGTTGAAGAAGTAAGGTGCTTTAGTTCTTTTACACTGTACTAAGCAAGTAAAAACTTTAATTTCTGTAATATTCAATTTATTAACTTGGGTATAAATTTTTACAGACTATAAGTTCTTGCCATAGAAAACTGACGGTTGCTGACGTTCGAGAGTTGTCATCTGCTGTTCCAGAAGAATTGATCAACAAATTTATTGCGGTATGCCATACGGGTAGTTTTGACAGTCTTCTTGCCTATGTTGATGATGTTCTTCGTGAGGGCTTCGGAGCGTATCAGCTTATGAAGCAGTTATTTACTGCACTTCTGAAGAGTGATGAACTACTGGATACCCACAAGGCCGTGATCTTTGAAAAGATTGGTGTAAGTTGGTTAAGTTGATTTTTTTAGGGTTCTGGAGTTAGTTTTAAACATGTGGTTAAATTGTTAGGTTTGTGAATTGCGGCTACTGGATGGAGCGAACAGCTTCCTACAACTACTAGATTTAGGTGCAGTTGTGCAGGAGCAATACAAAACCGCTGTTTGATGTATTACGTTTCTTTATCAGAATATGTCTATTACTCAATGGGTAAGGATTCTACATCTTACCAATTGTAGAGTGAGCTTGAGCACAGTAAAAAGTATTAAGTTTTGAAGAAAAAATTTGAATTTTAACAACTTTTTTCTTTCTAGCTAAACACGTGGTGCTCAAGTCCCAAAGCAATCCAAAACAATGATATAAGATTTGATGTACTTTACTGGTTCTTTTATGTCGTGTAAAGGCGGCACGTCTGTTGAATAAATTATTTTATTTAAAAAAAGTGCACAGTAACATAGCAAATGTAACATTAAGAAAGATGATTCAGCATTTCTCAAGTGAGATACGAATTCTTTTTTTATTCTTATCAACCTTTAATTTATCTAAACTTTCAGTGTAAGGTCTTGACTTGCATTCCCCTCTCAATAAAAATATTTTATTTAGTTTTCCAGGTCAGAATTAAAAAATTTAAATTCAAGAAATTTCTTCTTGTATACTTGAAAGTTTAGCTAAATTCAAAATAGTTGTAAAATACGTTAAAAATTCAGATGAGTAAGAAGCAGCAATGATAATTTTTTAAAACTCTTGCAAAATTCAGCTCCTAGTTTGGACTGTGTTGTCAGTCATACAACGGACCGCTCTGTAGGGTTACATTAGAGTCTTCTTTAGCCTTTATAATGCTCTTCGATGTTTGTTCAGGCACTAATGCATCTTCGGCACTAAGATGGCAAAAGTGTGTTACGGTCAAGTATGCGGTGAATCTTTATCTGGTAATCAAGAGTTTTTACCTTGTCAGTACAGAAGTCGGGAATATCATGCCATCATTGCTATCACAACTTGGACTCTTTGGGCTGCTACATGGGTCAGTTGACGACCGACCATTTCCGCTACTTGACCTATGTGACTTCTTGCTTCCCTGATATTTCTTCTGACGAGCACGAGAATTCTGCAGAATTTTTTAAATTTAAAATCTTTTGTCTACTGCGTTGTCGTAAGTGATAAGGCTCGTTGTTTTATAATTTCCTTCTAGTTGTAGAGAAGTAAGGTGAAGTAAGGCAACTGGTTTTTGACATAAATCAAGGAATGTTTTTTGAAACAGTTACACGTCTCTTTTGATTTGTCGAGTTTTTTACCGGTTTTCAACTTTTGCCTTATTATTATTATTATTATTATTATTATTATTATTATTATATTATTATTATTATTATTATTATTATTATTATTATTATCCTTATTACTATTACTGTTACTATTACTATTATTATTATCTGTTATTGTTACTACTGGTATTACTTTTGCTGTTATTATTAATATTACTATTGCTGTTACTATAAATGTTATTATTATTTTTATTGTTGTTAATGTTATTACTATTGTTGACTTTATTATTGTTAATGACATTATTAT